CTATCAGGCAATAAAGCAAAGAAGGAGGGACAATGAATAACATGAATAATATTTAAAAATGGAAAGAAAATTGCAAATTAGCCTTCATTTCTAGGGAATCGATGTATATCTGTTTTAAAGAGATACCAAGTGACTTTGTTCTTTAAAAACAGAATGTCATACAGTTGTCAAACGTAACTTACCGGGCTGTTTATCGTCAGCCAAAAGGAGCCGAAGGATTAGTCGTGACGTCACATGAAATTAAAGTAATGACAAAATACAACTTACACTCTGAATACTGGTTTGGCTCATATAAACGAGAATATACGAGTATGTCAATAGTTTTCATATCGCTGCATTGCCTAAGAAATTTATCCCTAAATATTTAGGGTAAACAAAGATTTAGGAGAGAAAAAAACTTATTATACACAAGCTTCTGCAGCTTCTCCAAGCTTCTCTGCCATTAGCGGTATATTAATAATGTAATTTATTTCTGTGCCGAGCCTGACTCAGGAAAAGAGAAAGAAGGTAGACATTGTTTACTGGTCTTCTATTAGAGACCTTAAGATACCCCGAAATCGGTGTACGGGTAACGGGTAGCGCCATGTTCTTTTCATTTTGTGGTGACGTCATCGACCTTACCGGGTAGAACCAGCCGTTTTTCCGGGGTAGACACCAGTTTACCCGTAGAAGATTTACGAGTAGCTGCAAGTCCCACATGATGGAGAAACGAGTAAGTTTTTAAGACTTTTTAAGTACAAATGTAAATTGTATGACTCCTTGGCAATGTTATTGCAAGTCTGATCAAATATTTTTGCCAAATTTGAATTTTAGCTGTAAAGAAAGCGCTTCAAAATGTATTGATTTTGGACCTCAAAAGCGCAGGTTGACCTCTGAAACGATATCAATTTGTGGCGGTATTTAGGGGGATTTCTGAGAATTGCTCGAACGTTTGAGTTTCGCAAAAGAAATAGCATTGAAAAATTTAGCATGGGAGTCACTGTTGAAGTTGACAATCAAAGGAATTGTTTGGTGATGTGCCTCAATCAAATGGCGGGGTTTGCGATAACAAGCTTTCGGTCGAGGGACTTCCCGCCAAGTTTCTTAAAATCTTTCTATGATATTTCAATAAGCTTATGTATGAATGAATGAATGAATTATTTGTTGCAGCTTGTTGTTAAGATATGAAGTGTAGAATATGAGGGAGATTTTGTATGCATTAAGCGACATGCATGTACAAAGTTAATTTTGCGTGCTTGTTCTTCGGGTATCTTAATCGAAATAGTCACGCACATGAACATTTTACGTGTACGGGTACACTACCCGTACCCGTACACCGATATCGGGGTATCTTAAGGTCTCTATTGTAATGATAAAATCCGTAAGAGAAGTCATTTACCAATTATAGTAGTTGCCTAATAATTCTACTGTTGAGGACTCTTTGGTCATCACTGTACTAGGGCGAAACAAGTGACGACATTTTTTTCTTTCTCCTTCTAAACTTGAGCGCTGTCCCCAAGAAACAAGCTCCAGGGAAATTCGTCTACATTTGACAGGTTTGACGAATTAGAAGAAACGCGACAAAGTTTAATTGGAAAAAATGCGACTTCATTTTTAAAGTGACGTTTTTACTGCCGTCGATGCTATTAAAGCTCCCTTATACTGACGTGAGGAGGAAGCAGCGAGGCCGAGCGGTTAGAACGCTGGACTTGTGGGGCCTCGAGATAGAGTCCTGCCCTGACCGCGAGCTGGATTTGTTCGCCGCAGTCCAGAGTTCAAATCCCGATCCTCAGCCAAGCTTGTAAATAGCCAACGAGGTTGACCTCCTACCAGTTGGGATTCTTAACTTTGTTATGTTTCATTTGAATTGTTTGTCTCATTTTCTCTAAAAAGCTCCATAAGGGAAGAAGGTAATTTAATAAATATTTGTATTTATTATTTTATACTGCTTTATTCTTTTTGCTTCTCCAACAATTAAAATAAAACCTTTTGCAAAAATAATCTCGTAAAATCCTAATATCTCAGTACACTCGGACTACTCTTGGTTTACTCTAGTAACGTAAGTGCATATTTTCATATGTGACGGTACCTCAAAATCATCAGGGGCACCATCGTGAATAACTGGCAAGATCGGCAGGCTTTTGAAGATTCCTGAAACTTTAAAGGTACTATATCAAAGGTAAACCGATAATAAAAACGGACAAATATTATAATCAAGTAAGTAGAAAGGCAAGGGAGGGCCATCGATTGTAAAGTAAACGGGGGTCAATTAAATAAAACTTTTACACGTGTAGTTTACAAGTGTAGCTGATTGTTTTAGAGTCTGACAACAATAGCTATACTTGTGAATTACGCGTGTAAACGTTTTATTAAATTGACCCCAAGTTTATTTAGCATATTCTCACGAATAGCCAAATTACTTACAGTAAGATCAGAAGCAAGAAGCTGGGACTGGTATACAATCGTTAAGAAATGTCCAGATTTTTATAAAATCTTAACACTATAAGAAAAAAAACTAGACAGTTCAGCATGGTTTCTACAGTACAAAAAAGGTTTTTTACTCCTTAGTTCTTACCAAATCTTGCCCCACTGCAGTTGCAAAGCTTTCGCATGGGAGACCGGTGCTCTACTTCAGGATCTTCTGCTTGGGAGATATATTCCTCAGAACCAATGGAATTTTCAAACCTTGAAATCTGTGTTTCTAGAACGAGGCAAAGTTAACATATGATCCTGCATTTGCATTTTGGAACGAGCTAAAGTGAATGATCAAAGTTTGCTGGGTTGTAAAAGACATTACCTCAGCTACTTGTGGTGAATTTTTTCCCGGATTTTATCATAACAACAACAACAGTGATAACGAGAGTGATAACAGCCACAATGATAACGAAAGATCTAAGATTAGGACCTCGCGAAGCATTTCGGTGAAACGCAAGATGTAGGAAGTACGTGAAATAAGGCAATAATGAAGAAAGTTGTAAATTTAAAAGAAACTTGCACCATATAAAGAAACAAAACAAAACGACTCCGAAAGGACAGGCAACGATTTTATTTAATGAAAACCAATATTGGATAAAGAGGGAGAGTCTACAACAAAAGTCTTGCACACTAAATTTTGATAAGAAAAATATAGCACTGCTCATTAGAAACGTCTTTGTTCTCGGTTTAGATTCAACTTTCAAGAAAGGGTTTTTTTCCCTGCTTACCAAATCCTGCCCCGTAGTTGCCTAGCTTTCGCCTGGGAGGCCGGTGCTCAGCTCTACGATCTTCTGCTCGGGAGATGTATTCCGCAAAATTTTCAGAACTTGACATCTCTGCTTCTAATAACGAAGAAAACTGAAATTATGATCATGCAAAACACAAAACAATATTGGATAAAGAGGTGTTCTACAAAAAACTTTTGCACACCGAATTTTGTTTAGAAAAAAAAGAACACTACTCATTAGGAACGTCTTTGTTCAGTTCTCGCCTTAGATTAAACTTTTTTAAAAAAGGTTTTTTTCTCCTTCTTACCAATTCTTGCCCCATTGTTGCCTAGCTTTCGCCTGGGAGGCTTGGGCTCTGTTCTACGATCTTCTGTCTGGGCGATGTATCCCTCGGAATCATTTAAATTTTCAACACTTGGCATCTCTCCTTCTAATAACGAAGAAAACTGAACTTATGATCATACATTGGCATTTTGGCTAGACCTTAAGTGAACGATTAAAGGTTGTTCGGTTGTACAAGACATAGCCTCAGCTACTTCTGGAGCCAATTTTATGAAACTTTTACAAGTGTAATTAACAAGTGTAGCCATTGTTTTAGATACTGTACACAATAGCTATACACTTGTAAAAGTTTTCTCAAACTAACCCCTGGTGGATTTTTGCCACTGATTTTATGATGACGATAACAGTTAAATGATAACAACAACAGCAGTGTATAACGACAATGATGACAGCCGTAATGATAACGATAGATCTAAGATAACAATTACGATAACGATAATGGCAACCATGATAATAATGATGATGTATATAGCGATAACAATAATGGTAATGACCGAGATAACGATATTGAAAAAAAACTATAACAAAAGTGATAATGATAATGATTGCTATATATTTTGAAACGATTCCAATGACTTTAATATTCAACTCGAAAAAAAGATCTGACTGAAGTATACATCACCTGTATCATCCAGTGAAAACAAATCACTTTCGTCAGGCGGCGATTTTGTCAACAAGTCCGTTTGCTTTTTCTTTTTCTTCTTTTTGGTTTTTCTGGTTAATTCGAGTAGTCGACCTGGAGGGAAGAAACGAATTTCAATTTTATTTTTAAACCATATGTCTTTATAAGGAAATTGATCGATTGAGATTCAATGAGCAGTTTAAGGCGTGACATAAGAGCACATTCTGCAAACTATGATTGCTCTAAATGAATATTAATATCATTTAGTAGAAGTCTTCTTGTGCCGCATGACATTCTCATTTATTGTCCAAATTTTCTAGTCTTAGGCATGCAATCCGGCCAAATGAACTATTTCAAGGCGTTTATTTTGCGGGGGTTTTTTTACAATGCTATAAATATTACTTTCCGCTCTCCATCTATTTTCTATATATATATATATATATATATATATATATATATATATATATAACTGCAGACAGTACTGTTTCGGCCTTCTGGGCCTCATCTGTGCAGTGCTGATGTCTAGGATGGAGGTTAAGCTTAAAAAGCCACCCCAAATGTCCCACACATGTGGTACATCTAAGCCATGCCAGAGCGAGCATATATATATATATATATATATATATATATATATATTCCCTAACATCGCAAAATTCATATAATGATCTACCCACGAAATTATTGGGAGCATTATTTGTTAAGGTATTCCACTGATAATATCGATTCTGAATCGAAATAAGAACAAATGTTTGGTTTGTGCGCGCCTACCTGTAACCCTCTTGAACAACGGGCGTCCATTGTTATTCACACCTTTTCCATGCTTACTTGAAACTGCAGACAAATATTCAACACCCCAAAAGGTATTTTACAAGTATTGTAATGAAAACAAATATACTTTACTACCAACAGATTCTGGAAGGTTACACAGAGCTTTCGAAACCCCATCCGGATCACTTGATCAGTGACATTTACTGTTATTCGTTTTCTTGTTTTGATTAGGCTGCAAAATTGTTCCGGCATAAGCTGGGGGAAGGTGGTACGAGCCCTGATCAAAGTTCACTGTCGTTCACCGAGCATGAATTTTGCGTCCTCATCAAAACTAGACTGACTGAAGTACTGTAACAGCAAACGTCACTGATGAAAAAAGGATCCAGATGGGTTCCGGAAGCTCACGACGTAACTTTCAAGAATTTGTTGGTGCAAAGGAATTATTATGTCTTTGCAATGGTAAGTGCCCCAACAATAGATCCTTCCCTCTTGGTCGACCTAAGTCAGATCGTCTGTTGGGTCAGAAGTCGAACTTCGACGTCAACGCGTCGATCAAAACCAATTAACTGAATCAGACCAAAAAGCGACCGAACGAAGCTAACTATACATTATCATACAATTTTTTTAATTATTAGTTTAGTTCGTCACATGTGAAAATGGACGTCTGTACCGGAGACGATCTTCAGACTTGGACGATCCAAACTCATTCAGGTGAACTTAACTGAGCAAGACGTCGAACTTTTCATGAACTTAACTCACTAAGTTTGCTTCGTCTTATGAAAAGTTCGACGTTTGGCCTAGGCCTGAAGGGCTCTCAAAACGGAAAAAGGCAAAATTTGTGAAATTTGTTCTCCAATCGTAACTATCGTTAGTAAGCCTGTAAAAGAATTGTGTGTAACTATCACAACTATCCAAAAACGACATCTGTCTGTACATACCTTTCAGTTCTTCAACGAACGGCTCCACATTATCATTCTCTGACAAAGCTCTCCTTAATTTCATTTTACGTTCCTGAAGTAAATCTTCCATTTGAAAGAAATGAGAAAGTTTTTTTTTATCACACGCTTATGTTTGTTCTTAAATCACTCGGTGGGGGATCAAGGAGGGTGGTTCCAAACTTGTGTTAAAGTTAGAACTATTTTACCGTCCTCTAATAGTTTACCCTTGATTAATGTCCACCCTTGTAAATATGTTCACATGTGTTTTTGAAAAACTTCATTTGAGGCAAAGCGTGTGATAAGGGGAAGTGTTTCGCACTGGTTTTATTTTTTAACACCACCAGAATGTTGTATATCACCCTTTTTGCACCCATTTTGCAAAATAATCTATTAACTGATGGGTGCTTTAAAGCGAGGTCCGAACCGCAAGAAACTTCCCCTCGATCCTCCACCCGTCAAAATCCCTTAAACTGCACGAAAAAGAACATACAGAGCTATTTATTTAATAAAGGTTAGGTGGGAGGGGATGACGACCTTCTGGGATCTATAAACACTTTCAAAAGTACGACTCTGGGTACCAGAGACGCGGTTTCCACTTTCGAACAAGTGTTATAATGCCCAGGGGTTAACCTTCGTCCTTACGAAAATCCCACCTCGCATGAGAAAAAAACGTCTTTGTGGGTACGTTCGACAGTTGCGCCTTACTTATTAGCTCCTGCATCTCCTTTTCTTCGTCCAAAACATTCTGTGTTAAATTCTGGAGACTCCGGCATGCCCTCTTCAAGTTTTCTATACTGCTTCTAGCCTCCGCTACAAAATGACAAGATATGAATCACCTTAAAGAGAGAAGGGGAATTTAAGGTTTCTGGGTAACTTACTACAGCTACTCCTCCCCAAGCGGGATAGATAGGAGGCGTTTAAAAGAGAAGAGATTTTACGCTCAGTGCTTTAACAAGATTAACAAAACTAATATCCTTTGGGCAGCAATATCAAGGGAGTTTAAAAATAGCGGAATATTTACTCCATCCATTGATACCTTTAAGAGATCCATATCGCTCTTTCAAATCCCAACATCGATGTAAGCATCCTCAGGGTTATTGTGTTGCCATTGTCAGTCTATCCTAGTGTGTGTCAATGTATTAATATTCACATGGACAAAATGGGATGAGTCGTCGAAACTCCCATCAACTAAAATAGTCCAAAAGTCAACGCGTAACAAAACAAAGCTAAGATACCTTTAACTGAACGTCTCCTTGTCTGTCCTGGCCGGTCAAAGTGGCATTTTGTGGAGTTTTACAATCGTAGGTACTTGCAAATATTAATTACTTGTGAATCTTAATATATTGACACACACTACGTCTGGGCTGCCTGTGGTTAATCAAGTTAGAAACTATATAGTTTTACATTAAATGATTTTGCTTCTAATTCCTACTAGTTTGAAGTAATTTTCATAGAAGACGTCTATTAGACAGGAGGGACGGTTATTAGAGAGGAGCGTCCAATACAATTTTAACAGCGTAGAGGCGGCGTTTATTAGATAAGAGGCATTTATTTGGAAGTGGGCGTCATTTAAGGTATTTGCCGTCCGAGGACATTCGGTTGTAACAATTGTGGTTCCGAGACAGAGTTAAAGATAAGATGAGGCACATTCCAATACACAAAATTGCTCTCAATCTTGGAAGACTGCTGTGTAGAACAAGCAATGTCTTTTACTACTGGGTGCGACTCCATAAGCTCCTTCTCTGGAATTTGAAACCAGAAAATCTTGGAACGTATGGGAGGGTCTCAATGGGGTGAGAGCTTTGACGGTTATTTTTACTCATTCTATTTTATTATTAACTGACGATTGACAGTTAAGTTTAAGAGCTTTTGGCGGTTAATACGAGGAGATCAAAGAGTGTTAGTAAATATTAACGGAAAACATGCGAATTACTTTTTTTTTCACTTTTACAAATCTGTTTCGTTCTGACGAGATTGACGATTTTTCCATGTAAACCATAGGGCTAGTAAGAAACAAATCGGTGAATTTCTTTACCTTCTATATAATTTGATGTTAACCATTGTGTTTTGGAGGTTGTCTTAGCCTTTCACTGTATATACTTAATCAGATTTTCACAGATATAAGCAAGTTTTAAGGTCAAGAAATCTCTAGAGAAATTTTGTTTGATATTACACGGTAACTATAGTTTTTCAAGTTTAGAGATTCCTTCAGGGGCCAGAAGTCCATGACGATCAGCTGAAAATACCTTGAAACTTTTTTACGGTTAATATTAACCTAAAATTTTGACGATCGACGCTGAAAAATAACCTTTTTCGACGGCTGACGGTTAACGTGATTGAGACCCTTGGATAGGCCGGCCCGAACTAGGACCGGAATTAAAACAGGAGCCTATATCTGCAGCTTGTATCCCAGTCTGGAGAACGTCAGTCAGTGCAGATGATCTCATATCAGTGCCATACCGCGTTTTGCCACCAAAACGCAGAAGCGAATCTCCGCCGCAAACATCAGATAACGGAGTTTTTAAAAGATACCACGACGGCGACGGCCACGAAAAGGTCGCTAAAAAAGTGAATTTGCGTTCTTTCAATCTCTATCGCAATTACTTCAACTCATTAACTTTATCAAATGCAAGCGAACTCTGTTTCAGCCGAATTCCTAAGAACTATATTCAAGATCAGAAAGAGAAAGAAAATTTACCCGTCGCTTGTTTACGTCCTCTATAAAACGTGAAATTTCCCGTCGTAGTCATGCAGTGACGGCAAAGAAATGTACAAGAAAGCGTGATGCACATGCAGAGTTGTTTTTTTGTTTGACTGTGTTCAACCAATTGCTTTTTTGACGTTCTCCTTGTCGTCGCCGTCGTGGCATCCATAGAGACCTTGCGAAATCGCGACGGCGACAGCAAAGGGAACGTCAATAAAGCAATACGTTTAATGAGCAAAACAACAAGTCTGCACGTGCATCGCGCTTTTTTGTACATTTCATTGCCGTCCCTGCACAACTACTACTTGAAATGACCAAATTTTAAGTTTACTTGAGAACAGGAACGGCAAGGCGATAAATTCTAGCATTTCTGTCTGAACTCGGGCGCGGTTCCCGCTCTTCAGCTCCAACCTAAATTCCCTTCTTTTTAAATAACTGGGCGACTTGGATAATCGCGAACAAAAGTAAAAGGATGCGAAGTCTTTTTTCCAGGCACGTTTTCATGGACGTCGCCGTTGTCGAATCGTTAGGTCCCTCATGTCCCTATAGTCTAGAACTCCTTCTCTACATTAAGCCTTAGAACCTTAACCGTCACCTGTTGGCCATGGATGGAAAATGGCACAGGAAGACCAGCTTTTAACCGTTCTGACGCCCAAAAGGCTGAACTTACCAGTTGGCAATGCGATAAATTTCAGTGTCGAGCCAATTGCTTTTGCAAAAACGCAAGCGTTAGCGTCAATTAGGCCAGCTGCCTCTACATGGGGGACGATGAATGCGTCAAGTGAGTTGTAGTTATATCATAGGGCAGTTACGTTACTTTAAGCTGAAATATATTTTATGAATTGTATATTGATGAAGTAATTAGAGGAGTTAATCACTTCACTGATCACAACGTTTATAGGTAACAGGGTAATACTTGGAATCAGAGTCTTGATTTTGTTGTAAAAATTACTCCTAATCATAGAAATCATAAAGTATTTTCTGAGGACAGCGAACAAGAAAGTGAGCTTAGTCTGCATTAGGGTTAACAATCTGTGCGCATGTGTCAGTTTTCCGTAAATTGTCGTTCGTAGTCTGTCGGCGTCACGGGTGACCAGAATTTTTCCCAGATCTCCTTGGTAAACTGTATGTTCTCTTTCTATCGATGGTGCTTGTGAAATCGTCGATCTCGTTTAGTGCACAGCGGTCGTAAAAGTGTTATCAACGTAGCGTAACCAAACAGGTATAGTTTGTTTATAAGTAGCAAGGGCTTGTTCCTCGATCTTTTGCAGAACAATTTCTGCTACAACTGAACAGAAGCCCATAGCTGTTTTGGGTTTTTTTGTCCTGAAAGTAAGTCGAAGTTAGTTGGAATCTATGGTTAGTCGTACAGTATTGTCAGCGAACTTGCCTTGAACTTCCTTTACGCTTTCCAACAATTCTTCTGTGCCTTCTTCGCAGGCATGTAGTTTTTCCTTTAGAACCGATTCTTCGTCCCCGGCTATGAAAATAAAAAAACAGCTTATTGTAAACTGCGAGGTATGGCTCGAGCGACAGTTGCGGAAAAGAGTGCTTTGAGGTGAAATGTTTCAAAAAATTCATGTTGTGATTGAATTAATACTTAAAATTGTAACTTACAACTCACATAAAGATAAGGTAAACGTTGAAATTACCAGCAAAAGCACCGCCAATTGCCAGAGAGTATACCATTTATGATTAGTCATTTCAAGCGGGCGCAGTCTTGAAAACGAGGGGAGGGAATTTTATAGGGGTATTTCCAGTAAAACCCAAAGTTTAAGCATTTTTCAGCTTCTAAATAACTTATAGAGGGTTGTGGAAAGACCGTATATATAAGGGATAGGGGTTAGTAGAAAAGGGCTTCAGTGATGCATATAGGAGGTGCATCACTCGTCAGAAATAGTTTGGCCTTTCGCCGTAACTGAATGAGTTAATGAACGAATTTACCGTATTTATAGACGGTAGTAATTTTCAACATACAAAACTGGTTTTCAAATCAGCCGTATGAAAATTTCTATGAGCAAATACTAACTACATTACAATGTTTTAAAACTATCGTTACAAATACTAAAAGTAAAAGGAATATTAAGTTTATCTTATTTATTTAAAAGTAATAATAATAAAACACCTAATGTAATTAATTAACATGGCGTTCTCTCAAGCATGCTTGAGAGAACCCAGGGAACCATTTAGTTTCTTTAAAGCTCGGTCCATACGTGTCGGATATTTTTGAATCCGCAAACTTTTCTTCGGGGATTCAATTTTTCCACGTCCACACGTATCCGAATTCACTCTCAGTTTATAGTCAGCTAATTTGTAAAGCTGTCTTCGGTTCATGCGAAAATTTTATGGCCAATCTTCTTCAATAACTGTTTCACTGCATGACAAAATTGTCCCACCAAGTTCTAGGTCGCTCGTTTAACTTGTTTATGGCGTCTATTTCGTTCATGCGACATTGAAAGAACTGAGCTTCAAAATGTGTAATCATAACTACAACGTAGGTTTAAGTGCACACACAGTATAAGACTTAAAACTGAAGTCCAAGAAGTAGAGACGCGATAATATAACATTGCTCTCGGCTATGGTTGGTCGTTTGTTGCAAAATTCAAGAAGTAGACATATTTGTGTTCAACAAAAATATTTATATTCAACAACTGCGTTTTTGTTCAACTTCAAAGAACAAACTATATTCATTCAACAAATTTTTGTTCAATTCGACAAATTTATATTCAATCAACAAAACCACACTATTCGTTCAAGAGAAAATATTCATTCAAGAATTCGAGTGCCCTGGCCCTCGCTTGATGAATACGCCCAGACCGCCCAGCAATTTTGTGGTAGTTTTCTTCCCTTCAAGGGTTATAAACTAAATGTTACCATTTCGCTACCTCCATTCTCATACTATTTGTTACCTCTGTTAGTCTGTGCTAAGCTGGCATTTGGTAAATGTTGTTTTGTCTCAGTGGGGATTGGCATGACTGGAACAAAGGAGAGTGTAGAACGGGACCAGCAGGAACTGTGGAATTATCCAATTTCCAAGAAGATATCAGTGGTTATCTCTGAAAAGAAGAAAACATCTACTCCTTGTAATAAATACTGCATATTTAATGGTCCTTTTTCCCCTTTTT